GGGGGGGATGTAGTTGTGAATTTCCTGCCTTGTGCAGGGGGTTGGACTAGATGAACCTGGAGGTCCCTTTCAACTCTATGATTCTGTGGATATTTAAAAGACATTCTGACCACAGAGTTTATGTCAGAACATAAGAAAATATTAAACCAAACAATAATAATTAAAGTAATTTCCCAAGCAATAAAGAACATGGAAGAAGGATAAAGCACCAAGACCAGATGGGTTGACAGCAATGTACTGCAAGCATCTTGAAGAAGTATTAATGAAAAGTTATGAATGAGATAAAAGAAAAGAAAATAATAAAAATAAAATATCTCTGACATGGCAAGAGGTGCACATAACACGAGTACATGAGGGCAAACACATTTGTTAGTGAGCTGTCCGGTTTTGTTACGAACACTATTCGGCTCCTCTGGGGGTTGGTTGATGGTTCTGCCACACCTGCTTTCAGCGTTGCTGGAGCACAGGCTCCCAGGTCTTCCTGGAAAGGGTCCTTAGAGTCTTCTTCACCCCCTTCCCTGGTTCTGTTTCAGCCACGTGGATGACTGCCATTGCCTTCCCTGGGTGAGTTGAAAATGGGACCTCAGGCTGCTGCAGCACCTGTTGCAGCTCCACTTGTTGCTGATGAGCGAGAGGCTCTTGAGAGACTTCCGGGAAGAGGTCCCCTCACCTCCCAGGGTGGGATTTCCCGTTTCTCTGGAATCTCTTCAGCTGTGGGAAACAGTGGAGTTTTTACCCTCCACTCCTGATATGCAACCATTTCAACTGGGCCTGGGTTCTCCCCGCATGGGTAGCGTGCACTTTGGTCCCCCACTGTCCCACATCAGGGAATGGGCCAGCCCATGCTTCTCCTCCCTTCGGCCTCAGTTCACGCACCAGAACCGGCATCCCCTCATCCAAGTCGCAAGCTCACTCCCAGCAGTCGTGCTGCTTCTTCTGCCCCCTCCCTTGCCTCTGTTAGGTGTCGCTGAGCCCACCTAGAGCCACTCGCAGGGTTTCCTGCAGGTCCCTGGCGTAGGCCTCCACTTTGTATTGACCTTTCCACTCCTCCGCTACTTTCCCCAAAGGCCCTGAGGGGGGGATACATCCATACACCAAGCAGAATGGTGCTTCCCAGGGTATTACTCATAGAATGAACATGAGCAGGTCTAGCATAACATCCTGTTCTCCCATTTTCACCCACACATTTTGCAGCATAGATTTGAGTGTCTGGTAAAAGCATTCCACCAGACCATCTTGATTGTGGATGGTACACAGAAGTCCTTGTTTCACTTCTAGGGCCTGACACAACTGCTGAAACAGGTGAGAGGTGAAGGTGCAGATTTGATCTATGAGGATCTCCCCAGGAAATCCCCCCCCCATGAAAAATAGGACACTGCGAACTTCCGGTTTATGGTGACACGCAGGCAGATGCATCTCCCGGATGTCCCGGGGATGTAATCTGCACACCAGCATGTAGGAGGGGGTGTAATGGGTCGCTACCTCCCACCAGAGCCTTGGGGGAAAAGTTATGGGGCTTTTGAGGGGTGACCTATTCGCCGGCGCGATGCCGGGGAGTTGAGGTGCTCCTCCACCCTGAAGGTCCTGCCGCTGAGTGTCCGCATGGACTTAGAGCTGCTGACCGGGACAAGCGTCAGAGATCAAGAGAGAAAAACGGATGCCAAGCATGGCCGGATGGCCGGCAACGAACTGTGAGTTGGGTTGATGTGAGATGAGGATTTAAAAAGAAAGCTGCCCCCCTTAAGGAGCGACGCAAAGTAAGTGGGGGAGGGGCCCCTCCCAAACGCATAAAGGAAAACACGAAACTAAAGAGGGGGGAGCGGAAGAATAAGCGCCTAAATCTGTTTTAAGAGACTTACCAGAGCGCAAATAAGCGCAAGGGCGAATTTCAGAGAATTTAGTAACTTTAAGAAAAGTAAATAATCCAGAAAGATGGTGGGGGAAAAAAACAGATAAGGACAAACTGTTGAAAGCAAAACTAGTGGGCAGTCCTTGAACAGAAGAGACCACTGAGCTTTCCAAAATGCTGGCAGACGTCTTGTGCCCTCTGCTGGACGAGATGACTAA